GGCTCCATCCCTGTTAACACGACTAGGTTAATAGAGCTGAGTGGTAAATCTGCACAAAGTGAGAATAGTATAACACCCATATCCACAGTAGGCCTTGAAACAAACAGGAAGGCCAATAAGAAACGTTCACGACGTCGCAAGACGACGAAAACGTTCCCCAAGAAGGCAGACGATTGCAAGGTCTGCAATTCTGTTGTCGAACAAGTAGAGTCTGCTTTCGAATGCAACTTTTGCAAGCAATGGGTACATTGTAGATGTGACACCTGGGTACCAAAAGTATATTACGATTTTATGCGTAAGAACCCATACCCATGGTTCTGGTACATATGCCCAAGTTGCCGTCCTGATGCAGCCTCGTGTAGTTCCTCGAAAGCTAAAGACGGCATAGAGGTATCAGGGAAAAACGTGAAACTTTTACTCCCACCAACTCAGAAAACAGCACAATTGCACGTAAATCGGGGATACCAAAATCCACACTGGTTATACTTGCAATTCCTGCCATAACTGCCCCAGACACAGAGGTTGAAGCACCAAGGGTATCTGTCGCTGGGAAAAGACCCTTACCGTCCACCAGTAAAAGTGGCCACAGCACTGTGACACACAATAATACCCAGTTGCACCAGACGAAACAAAACGGTCTTAAGGGGGATGACAAATGTGCGAGGACCGAATCCAAATCCACGATTAGTAGATCAAACTGCGTTATCCTCTTTAATGTACCAGACTGTAGCAGTAGTCTGCTGGAAAACAGGGCCCTGTTTGATCAGGAACAGTGGTCCAACTTGTGTAGCACACTGGGTCTGGACATCCAACCAGTAAAACTATGCAGATTGTATAGGGGCACTGCTGCTCCTCAAGGCAAACCATCCTCACTGAGGGTAACACTGGGCTCTACCGAGGATGCCGAAAAAGTTTTATTGACTTCCCAAGTCCTTTCTATAGGGAGGACCTGCAATATACGTGTCAGGCCAGATAGGCCATGGAAGGAAAGACAGATGGCAAGGGAGTCGCCAGAGCTTATTCCTTCTGCCTCCATGGTTGTTCACGGCATTCCCGAACTGGTAACTGGGAGCGCCTGTGCGAAGCACTGTCACGATGTACAGCAATGGAGATGGTTGGCATCCCAGATGGCTCTGGGAAGTTCAAGGGCTGTCTCTATTTATAGACTGCCTCGACCCACTCACCTTATGTCACTTAATATGCCACGTCTGTTAGCTGTTAAGTTCAGCTCCCTAGACCACTTGACTACTGCTCTCCAGAGATGGTACGAGACCAAGGACAAGGCCAGCAGACACATTCGCTGCTGCGAGAGCCGGCCTCGTACCCAAAGGAGAGAACAAAACGTTGTCATAGAACATCCCCAACCCCTAGTCACAATACAGCGGTGCAGCACGGACGATGATAGCCAGTGTCATCCAAGTGCTCCGATTGAATCAGAAGAAAAAACGCCAACAGGCCGGTTCCCGGGGAATCGGCCAAATAGTTCGTAGGATAACTCCTCAACCGACAGCCCACATCACGTCAACCACCCCCCAATACGGGGACTTGGTGAGACTGACTACCAGTTGCCTGAACAGTAAAGTGTGAGGTCTAAGAGGCAAAATAGCTGAACTTAGATTCCTACAATCACAGCTGAACTTCAAAATCATAATACTGACGGAAACCTAGCTAACCCCTACGGTGGCAGATAGCGAAGTCAGTATAAATGATATGGTCCTAGTCAGGCGAGACAGGGATCTGAAAAAAGGAGGTGGAGTCGCCATATACGTCGACAAACAGCTCAGATGTGTCCATGCAATGGACCCTCCCCTCACTGAGCTCCCTGACCCCATATGGTGCCATTTCACCGTTGGGTACTGTAAATATCTAGTGGACAGCATTTATAGATCACCTTCATGTGGAGCAGACCACAACCAGGTACTGCTGAATGCAATTTCAGCGACACATGACATGGGTTATGATCAAATTATCATAGCTGGAGACTTCAACATCCCATCTCTTAACTTGATGACGGGATATGCCCATGATAGATTTGATCGAAATCTGCTGCATACCATCAGGGAGGCCGGATTCACTGAAAATGTCAGAATGTATACTAGATGGGGCCCAGATGGGAAGTCTTCTAGCCTGGATCATGTGCTCACTAGTGACCAGCTACCAGTGCAAAACGTTCAGATCATGACTCCCATAGGTAGTAGTGACCATGCGGTCATAACATTCGACATAGTCCTCCGCGAGCATCTACAGTGGGACAATACACAGCCCTATCTGTGTTATAACAAAGCCAATTACACCGAAATGCTAAGACTTTTGTCTGAAGCAAATTGGCCAAAAAATTGGACAGAGCTTACAATAGAAGAACACTGGGGAGTGGTAAAGGAGATCATTCACCAGGCGGTCTCAGACACTGTTCCTTTAGTCACAGCAAAAGCTATGAGGCGACGTTCATGGCTAAAAAGGGGGACACAAGGCCTTCTGCAGGCGAAGCGAAAAGCCTGGTTTGCGTGGCGAGTATCGAAGAGTCAACCCGAACATGAAGTGTACCTCGAACTCAGGAATCGGTGTAACATACGAGTCCGGAGTGATAGAAGGACATTTCAGAGAAACCCCGCCAATAAGCTTCTCGTGAACCCCAAAAGCCTATACAAGTTCATGTCTGAAAGAAAACCGACCAACCAGGGAGCTTGCAATCTAGTGGGTTCTGATGGGAAATCTCTTACTAGTCTTGAAATGGCAGAGACATTCAGTCTAGCCTTTCACAGGCAACTGAACAGTAACTAGGATTTTACCCCCACAAAACATCAAGATTACAGTGCAAAACCGACGTGCGAAAACCTGCTGGGTACATTTCAAATTACCCCGGCTATGGTACTCGTAAAATTGGGAAAGTTGGCTTCGGGAAAGTCTGCAGGTTGCGGTGCCATAAGACCATCCGTCCTGAAGCAGTGTTCAGAAAGTCTCTGCCAAACCCTAAGTGACCTGTTTCAACATTCCTTTGATGTAGGGAAACTTACATGTGAATGGAAACGAGCCATCCTATCCCCTATCTTCAAGGGTGGTGACCGGCAGAACGTGACCAGTTACAGACCAGTTGCGCTACTCCCAGTGATATCGAAGATATTGGAAAGTCTTATTGATGACAACATGAGAAAATACTTCGACGGGACTAACCTACTCCATGAAGCACAGCACGGTTTCAGGAGGGGAAGATCCTGTGTGACGAATCTTCTACTAGCTTGGAGCGATTGGACACTATCCTCGGGTGTAAAGGTACCAGTCCATGCGATCTTTCTCGAATTTGCGAAAGCATTCGACACAGTTCACCATGGTCTGCTCCTTCACAAAATAAGCAAGGCGGGTGTTTCTGGAGCACTTCTCGCATGGCTGAAAGATTATTTAGGCGAGAGAGAATTCTGCACCAAAGTCAACCGCATCCGATCATCCTGGCACACCTCGGCATCAGGGGTTCCTCAGGGTTCTATCTTAGGGCCGTTGATGTTTTTGATTTTTATCAACGACCTGCCCTGTCAACTGAATTGCTCTGCGCTTCTTTACGCTGACGACGTAAAGATTTGGAGAGCAATAAACTCATCGGAAGACTCCGACAGATTGCAGGCTGACCTGCAAACTCTGGGAGACTGGGCCCTGGCTAACGGAATGCCTTTCAACTTAAAGAAGTGCAAAGTAGTGCAAATTCATTCCGGCAGGTCACAGAGTGCAAACTACACCCTTGGTGGCCAGAACTTGAGTTGTGTGCCATCAGAACGCGATCTAGGCCTTATTTTAACAGAAAAGCTTGACACCAGTGTAAATTACACGAGGGACGTCGCCAAAGCTTACGGCACTTTACACTTTATGCATAGGCAACTGGGAGCTCTTATTCCCGAACCATTCTTAAGGTTGTATACGACATACGTGAGGCCACTCCTTGAGGTGCATAATATCATTGCTCCTCCGCTACTCAGAAGGGATGCCAACATTCTAGAAAGTGTCCAGAGACGAGCGACAAAATGGGTGATCGGCCTCCGCAACAAATCATATGAGGAGAGACTGAAGAAATTAAGTCTTTTCACACTTAGTTACCGTAGTCACAGGGGAGACCTCATCATCGTCTATAAGATCTTAAATGACCAGGCCCACCCTAATAAAAGCATCCTCCCATTAAGTGATTATAGGCTTCCACGAGGTAACCCGCTAAGGATAGCACACCAGAGACCAAAGACTCGAGTGCGTTCACGTTTCTTCTCGCTTCGAGTTTGCCGTCTCTGGAACGCTTTACCGGCGGCCGTAACTACAGCGCCGTCTGTGGAGACTTTTAAGCGGAAGCTGGACAATCATGCAGAAATGCATGGTTTGTGTCTCAATGGCTTATCCTCTTAAAATTTGAAACCACATTGTCAATGGATAAGCATACAAGCTAAGTCCCCACGACCCGTCCTGTGTTCTCCCACTGTACCGAATACTCTATCTTTTCTTTCTTTCTTCATTATTTCACCTTTATTATTTCACTTATCTCAACCTATATTATCTACACTACAACCTATTATTATTATTCTACTTTTATGACTACACCGAATGACCAACGGGTGTTAGGTCAAACTCCATTCACGGCAGCAGCTGAGTCCTAACATACTGCACAATACAAACCACAATCTTGACCAATCCTCGCACCACTCCTCTTGTAGTCTACCAGAGCTAAAGCAGTCGAGTGGTGGGATTTACTACGCATAAGTTCACCGAAGATCTGGAACCTCTACCTTACAATCGAGAAGCGAGCTCAAAGATATCACTGGTTTATACTAGCTCGTAATCAGGATATTGGATATTGGAACATTAAACGCTTTCAAAGAAAAAATTTTTAGGTTTTACTAACTTTCTATCAGTCATCACTGAAGACTAAAGGGATAAAGGAATGTCAAATAACCTTGAAGATTGAACTTAGTTTCACTTCTCTGTTGATACATAGGTAAAGTGCTCTCTTAGTTTTCAAGGTAAACATCATGTTCACGGTCGGTCAGCTGGTTGAAAATTCTGGAAGAGTTGGGAACAATTTGAAGACTGAAACCCCAAATGTTAACAAAATTAACCGCAAGTTCGGTCTGCGTGATGTAAACATCCAACAAAATGTCCCTGCACACTCAGAACTGAAGCAAACCCAAAAACCATCAATTCCAGAGGAGGCATATAATGATGAGCCTGAAAAATACATTCCACCTACAGAAACAGGTAGTGCTTTGGGACACTGTTTCATGTTTTAGACGACGATGTTGATGTACAAGCAAGGCTGGATAGCCTAAATTCTCTGTTGAATGGAGTGATCTCTCTGTCACGTGGAAAAACTTTCGAGGTTTATACAGATCCCCCTGCAAATGGTAATGTTTTTCAATTAATTTTTAATAAGTACAGATTATGCCAACGAATCAGATCCATCAAATTTTGAAATACCTGATTCGGAAATCAGTGCCATGTTCAATTGCTTCAACTAGGCACATGTGGTTACAACTTCTATGTCAGAAACCTTGAAAGAGGATGCTAGTCTTTTACCAATTCAACTTGAGAAAGCTTGACTGGTTTTATACTCAATTTTGGTTGATTGACAGTGTACAAACATTTTTATGTTTTCGACATATGTTTGATGTTGTAACAGTGTTTCTTGCTATGGACTATAGAATATATTAAGTCTTTCGCATTCCCGTTGTTTCCATGTTTCCTTTTTGGTTTAGTAAATCATCGGCTACATAAAATTTGAATTTTTCTATTCTTTCGTGTTCCAAGGGGAACGTAGGGCTTCAGTTTCAGCAGAGATGTTGTTTTTATGGGGTTGAGTTGCAAGTTTCACGTCCAGCCCTCCCTCTTTTGTGGATTTATTGCGGGCCAGGCAGTGTTTGATAGTGTATCAGACGGGGTTCGATCTCGGACTCCCGGCATGACTAGCGAGAAACCACCAACAATGAAGTTATGTGTTGACTTTTATTTATTAGACTATTCAATATAATGCTTTTGTCTCTTAGATTCTAAAGTCCTTTTCAACGCTTGAAGTGTAGGCTTGAGTCATTTTCGCCGTAATAAAAATATTTTTCTGGTGATTTCGCAGTTCAATGTTCAAAGCTTAAGGGAGTTACAACTTAATCACCCGGAGGATATTTCTGATGTTTGAGGCTGTAGTCCACTTTTATTGTGTAGGTCTAGCAATTCTACATAGCTTTCCAAGTCGAACGGGGTTTTGAACCTGGAACTCGTCTGAAACTCGAGTGCTGATGTTAGTGGAACACGTATTTCGTTGAATGGAAAGTGATTTAGGTCTTTTGAAGGTGTCGGGTGTTCAGTAGGAGTTTCTGATTAGGTGTAGTAGAGGGTACTAGTACAATAAATGTGTTCTAAACTTAATTTTGCATAGCATAAGTTAAACTGACAATGTTATAGAGAGACTTTGCAATTGATTGCTTTTGTCATATCGTATTTATTCTGATTAGGTAGATTATGTAAAGATTTGGAGCAATACTTGTGGAGCCGGTACACTGTTAATGATATGCTTTATTTATTCGTCACATGGTATAAAGCTGTGATACAGAGATGCTGAGATGTACTCATGAGAAGCATCTATTGATGTTATAGGTTTATCAACTTAACCTTTATTGACTGTCAGATGTCATTTTTATGTCCTGTTTTCTAGGTTCCCATCTTTCTAAACGTAAATGTAAATTATTATGCCGTTATGCGATGAGCACCATAACAGTATCTCATATATAAGCGGGTTTTGTATTTATTATGTATCTGTTACAGTTGAGAGGATAGAAGCAAGACAGAGGAAGCATGACTTGTATAATTCTGAATGCTTTATCTCTTACGTCGGATATTCTTTTGAAGCTTGTCTTACCTAAAGTAATAACTTTGTTGGTGGTCCGGCCGGTATATTTTACTTAAATAAAAAACTAAGAGGCGATCAAAACGTTTCATCGAATAAGATACTGTCGAAGTTCAGTTTCTCTCAGATTGTTCAACTCTAAGAGCTGATTAGCAGAACTATTATTTACAGCGCCACCAATGAATGTCAAGAAGAAGCTATCTCATCACCAAGATATGTTTGCTTTGAATTTTCGGGTGTCAATGGTATTCATACAATATTATTTTGCAATAATCATTAGCAATTTTAGGTTGCGAAAGTCATATAAGTTTACTTTTACTTATGAAAGCGATTTCACTACTAGTGGCTACATGAAAACAATAATTTAATGATAGGCTTTGTCCTTAAGTAATGTGATC